ATATTACCTAAACATAGTTTCAATTTCCATTCCAGAAAATCCAAATGCACTATCTCCTTCAATGCAAAGCACTCTCTTTTCAGGCACATTATCTTTACAATATAGAGCAGCTGCAATTGCAAAACCTAAACCTACACCCATAGTACCAAATGTTCCAGCATCTAAGCGATGACGAGGTAAATTATTTAACAGAATAGTACGTCCGATATCCATTGTATTAGCACCCTCGGAGCAAATTATACAGTCTATGTAAATAATAAAATATAACATTGATATAAATCTTAATATAAATCATAATATTGAAACATAAAACTTACCATTTGGTATAAAATTTTGTATACATTTAAAAGTCACATAATAATTTAATGGTACAGACTCATTCAAGGACATTTGCTGCAAGTTAAAATATTACACACAATTATCAATAATATATTGAAGCATATATTATGTAATGTAATTAATAGAATTATACCTGTACAATTTTTTTATTTTTATCTGCTTTTGAATTAAGTTCATTCCACCATGGACAATCTTTAGTAATTTTCCATTTACGATGTAGCAGTGCCTTTATTAAAGACTCTACTGTACAATTTATATCAGCTTGTATAGCAACTGCAGATGAAATGGAATTATGTAATTCTTCTGCGCAAAGATCAACCTAAAATGAGTTTGATTTATTTTAAAAATATTTAATTAATTAAGAATACTACATAATAATTAATTTCCTATAACATTTATTCCAGTACCTGTATAATTTTTACAGTGCTTTGAAATCGAGGTGGACGCCCAAAATGCAGCATCCAATTGAGCCTAGCACCCAATAATAATATTACATCAGATTGTTGCAAAGCATATGTTCTTGCACTAGAAATACATAATGGATCCGTATCTGGAACAACTCCTTTTCCCATTGGTGTTGGAAGAAAAGGAACTCCTGTTAAGTGGACAAACTCCCGAACTTGTTGCTCAGCTCGACCATAAGCAGCTCCTGATATCAATTATTTGCAAAAACAATTCTAATTTTATTGATAATTGAAAAATTATTATTTTTATAGGATTGTTTTAGTTTTTAATTTAAAAACAGAATTATTTTTTACCTTTGCCTACTATAACTAATGGTTTTTTTGATTGTATTAATATATTAACAGCTTCCTCAATTTGTCTATTATCAGGAAATATCAATGGTGGTTCAGGGCAAGGTAAGACTAGTGCAATTTCTTTTTCATTAACATTTTGCGTTAATATTGTTGCTGGTAAATCTAAGTAAGTTGCACCTTTGAATAAAATATAAAATATAAGATTAAACATAAAGTTTAAACATAAAAATAAATGATACAATAAACAATAGAAAATGAAACATAAAATAATATTTATAATGTATATATACCTGGTCTACCATAGGTTGAATATCGTACTGCCTTTTCTACATGAACAGGAATCAAAGCTGCAGATGATGGTCTAGCTGCATATTTACAATAAGGCTTACTAGCTTCTACTTGGGGCCATTCTTGAAAACCCCCAATACCTTCATGATCTTGAGGACATGAACCTCCTACTACTAAAAGTGGCCTATAATAATTTTAATAATGATCCATTATTAAAGACTTCATTGAGTAATTACATATTTTATAATGTATTATTAAAATTTTAAATAATACATTACATTTATTAAATCTTCTTACCAACAATTAATTTGTGCATTAGCCATGCCACCTATAACATGAAGTAAGCCAGGTCCAGATACGCATAATACAACTGCAGGCTTTTCTAATTGATTATAAATTCAATATTATTAAATTTATCTTCTAAATATATAATGTGACAAGTATGGAATTCGATTAATCGTATTTACTTGTTAAATAACCATAAGCTTGAGCTGCATAACATGCAGCTTGTTCATTTCTGAATCCTAAATATCGTAGACCTGCTAATTGCATTTTTATAGCTAGTTCTATCACTGGATGCCCCATTATACCAAAAACATATTCTAGTCCCTATGAAATCATGTAAATAGACATATAAAACGAAAATATAAATTAGTTAATCTATATTAAATTCGATCAAAGTTGTTAATTATTAGATCAAAATTAGACTGAATTGAAATGGGTCAAAAATTGGTAATTATTATCATTATTATGTGTAAAAAAAATTAATTTTATAGGAATAAAGTATATAGTTTATTTTATCTATTATTTTAAATGGAGAGATTTTTACAAAAATATGAACAAATATTAAATATGTATAATCGATAAATATGATAATTTGTAAGTTTGACGTACAGTGAAAGTAGCAAAAGATAAACTTTTGCATTAAATCCATATACATTATTATCACGTTCATAAAGGCGTATAAAGCAAGTAATTCTTTATACGCCGATAGTGAGTGAACAACAAAGAAATAAGCCATACTTCTATTAAAATTGTTTTTAATAACGGAACATATCAATAAGTATTCGTATTTAACTTGCTTCGTGAATTCGTAATAATGTTATTTTGGAATAATTAATTTTTGATACAGGTGAAATTTGTTTATATGGATTACGAAGAAGATAATGTTCGAGCATCACTTATTGGACCGCGGGAAGAACATCAGAGTTATAAAAGTAAGACAAAAAAGATTACAATCAATTTCAGATAATATTTGTGCATTAAAAATATTATCCAAATGTAATATATTATAAAATTTGTAATTTATATATATATATATATATATATATATATTTATATATATATATATATATATATATATATATATATATATATATATATTTATATATATATATATTTAAATTTGATTTATTATTTATTTATTACAAGATCAGAATTTCAAAAAAACATTATTATTTTATTGAAAAAAAGTAAATTACAATGATAGGAAGTCGATAGATCATTTTGAAATTTCCTTCAAAAAGAAATATAACACATTCGAATATTAAAGAAGAGAAAAGTGAGTTCAACTACCTAACAGAAACTGATTTGAATACAATAGGCATATTTTGACATGAATTCGATGAAAAATTGTGATATAATATCTAACATATGTGAAAAAAAATAAATATAAAATAGAGATAATTTAATCCATTTTTTTACACTACAATACTCATAATGTACAGATGTACAAATATAGATAATTAAGTACTTATTTAACAAGATTCAATATTGAATTATGAAAATTTTATCATATAAATTTATATTGGATTATATTCGTTCACTTTAAAAATTTTTTATAAAAATGAAGATAAACAAAGATAAATGATGAATTAGTGTAAAACAATACATAACCTAAAAAATATAATGTCAGTTTTTACAAACATACCTGTTGTTTAAGGGCTTCTGCCATAATTTGATTACCGTTTTTCATTTTCCCTAAAAATTCACAAAATGTAATATACTGAAAGAAAGTATTTTTTTCGTTTAAATCGTCTACAAAAAAGCTTCGATTAAATTGTTTTGTATTTTCGTCGTAAGTCAACGTTTCATTTCATCATTAATAATCACTGGTATATTTTGAATTGTAAAACGGACAATAACAATATATATATATATCACGAATTATTCATATGAATAAGTGCTTATCATTCCGATAAATTTATCTATAGGTATAAAGATGATATATAAAATATTTTTTTATTTTCAAATTATTGAGCTCATGAATAATAAAAATTTTATGAATTCTGATAAGTATTTTCTAGATAAATGTCTTAGATATATTTTGTTACGTTAATAAACACGTAACGTCAAAGAGATTTTATATGTAAAATATCTTATTTAGTTACAAAATACTTATTTATCCTTATTTTTACTGTTTCTTAACAATTTAGTAATTACAGAAAAACTTGTAGTAGTTTAGAAAAATCTTTCTTGAACGAGTTAATAATTCATGCAATTCGAAATGCTCAAGAATAAGTACGATTAAATATACCGTATACACACATATGCTCGCGCGCGTGTATGTATATATATGTATCTATATGTGTATATATTATTGTGTATATTAATTATGTATATAATTTGTAAAAGTAAATGATTTGTAAGAAGTCAGGTTTTAAATCTTATTTTCGAAAAAAGTATATACTTCATACTTAATTCATGTATCTGTATTTGGACTATAAGATCATAAATCAAAAATAAAACGCAGTTATACATATTTTTGAACAAAATTCTGTTTGCAAAACTGCTTTAAAATGTGTTTAATATTATTTTCAATATTCTATAGTATAGATCTATTTACACTTAAATGATTCTTACGAAAGTAAATATAAATTTATTGCAAATTTTTAGAATGTTATTTATTTATAATTTCTTATAATGTGAACTTTTTTATATGAATAATGAAATGATAAAAGATATTAAAAGAAAAACTGAAAATAGAGAAATGAACATTTTGTACATCGATTATTTATAAAAATATATATGTAAGTGATCATAAATTAATTAATAAGAAAATATATATTTGATAGGTGTAAATACGAATGGTAGTGGTAAACAGTTTAAAAATTGTCGACATATATATATATATACAGACACACACACACTTTCTCTCTCTCTCTCTCGCAATAATTGATATATATATATATATATATATATATATATATATATATATATACATATATATATATATTATATATATAATATATATATATACATATTATATATATATAATAATTTATTATATAATAAAAATCATTATTACATAAAATATTGATATTTTATTGATTGATTTGACATAACATTTGAATAATTGAAATAATAATAATAACAATTTAAATCTCGAAAAGACAACATTTTCTGAATCGATGAAAAATTTTAAAATCATTTAAATGTACAAATTATAAGAAAAAGTTTCTACCCTTAAGAGAAGCTTATCCGAGCCACCACCTCTGCACTTTTACTTACAGCAGGATATATAAATACGCGTCTCGATGTCCAATGTCACCAGTCCTTCATCTAGGTTGGTAGAGTTTATTTCGTGCGACAACTTCCGAAATTTGTCTCTTGTAACACTTTACCAATTATTTGCACGAACTAGTATTGTCAAGTTGAGATCGTCTAAATGTTCTTTTGATCGTACGTGATTTGATTTTTTTTTTCTTTGCTCGACAGTGAGTAGAATGAAGAAGAAGTTACAAATATTCATTTCAAGTAAGTTATTCAACTCGAATATTCGATAGAATATTAAGATATTTTACTGTTCGAAATGTCCTAGTTAACATCATATATTGTACACGTTTTATTATCTGTTTTAAAATTAAAAGAAAAATAAAAGAAACGTGCGCTTTTTTTGAATACTTTTTTTTATATTTTTTATTATTATTTTTCTTTTCTATGCTTTTTTCACAACTCAACAGAGAACAAACAAAAGCTATTATTTTCGCAAATTTATAAAGAATACGAAATCGCGAAAAACTTGTCGTTCTTTATGCAGCGCACAGTCTAACTAATTGTAAGTGAAAGTAATGAGTTTTTCAAACATGATAATCTGGTCGTTGGTAAAAGTAGCTCAAACAATAAATTGCATGCGATCTATACCGGTTGATAGCACACCTAATAGCACAACTATCACTTAATTATCATTTTTCTAAAAAGTAATTTGAAATAATATTCTTATTTTTATATAAGAATATATAATTTATATATATATATACTATATATATATAATATATATATATATATATATATTATATATATATATAAATATATTGGATCACCGACTTTCCTTCGATGTTTCACTCTTGTTGTCATTACCGGACGTTTGTACCGAAGAAAGTCAACGGTTTTCTTTTCTACTTTTCAGTAGCGTAGTATCGAATGATATTGGCGATTTCATGTTTTATAAATCTTATGCGATTTTGTTTTCCTGCGATATTATTCTACAATATTCACAGGGCATAATTTTATGTAATTCTTATATAGAATATAGAATTATATTATATAGAAGGAATTCATTTTTCAAATAAAAGTAGAAATTAACATCAATGTAAATTTCTACGCCATTGTTGATCTTTCGATCCTAGGTAAATGTAAATTTCCTTGAGTTCGACATGATGATTACGATTGCTTTCGGCATTTTTGGCATATTTTGCATTTTGTGTCCGTTACTTAACCTTTTTAGTTGAATTCTAACTTGTCTGAAGCAACTCATAAAATATCTACAAGAATTATTATATTCGTTTATAAATAATATATAAGAATGTAAATTTTCCTAAATTAACGGGAGAAATATGGTTGGATAATCATTTATTTATAAATTTCATCGATTTGACTACAAAGTTATGAAATTATCGATCACATTACAAAGTCGATGCATATATCCGCACAAATATTTTGTAATTTGATAGTACAGATTATCCTAGTCAATCTAACTGCGACAGTTCGAACGGTATTACAAGAGAACATATAAATTGCAATTTTTCTTTTACGGTGATCTCTCGTACGTACCTATTCAAGTCGTAATATTATATCGTCGGATAATATATAACCAAGTGTATTTGATTCGTCCTTGAATATAAACTGTCATGATTTTCCGATAAAAATAATCGAGTAGTATTTTAAAACCGCAATTTAAAAATAGTTATTTAACCATTCGAGATTTGTGAATTCTTTGTATTACATGAGCATATATATGATAACATTAACATTTATTTATATCCATTCACTCATTATTTCTATAGTTTCTATAGTTTCTACTTCGTCACTTGACAAAGTACTTTTTCAATTCACACATTAATGCGAACGCGAAAATACGATTGGTAAAAAATAAAATATTTCCTTATACGTAATTAAAGTTTTTCTATTGAATAATAACAGTTAACTTCACGTTTATATTCGTTACTATAACGATTTAAATAGCATAACGTAAAACTAAATATGTAATGAGAAAAGATTTGAAATAAGAAAGTTTCTGCTCCAAATTCAATCTTTAGATTTTGTAAATCCGTATAAAAGAATTAGTAGATTATAATAGTTCAATCAATTAGTTTCTCTGGTGATGTGCACCAATGCATAATATAATGTATGTTTAGTAATGCTTGATTATTGAACCACAAAGTCATTCGTTTCTCTTTCACGTAATAATTATCTTTGAAAAGAGAAAGAACGACTAGCTTGTGGATCGACCGTCGAGCACAACTAAATTGTACGTATTATTATTTCTAGAAGACACCCAACGTTTATCTGGAAATTGTTACGTAAGTCACTAGAAAGATGATCTGTAAAATGATCTGATTAAATTTCAAACGTCTTAAAGTTCGATATATTAGTCATAACGATTGTATAATTATAAATTAATTATAATTTATATATAAATTATGATTAAAACTTTTCGATCATTATTAATTTCAGGATGGATTCCTACGAGAATATTAATATGCTTAATGATGTTTACTTGCTGTTGGACCAGTTACATGTGTCGTTTACAAATGCCTATCTTGGCAGTACCAATGATCAAGACTTTACCGACCGAAGATGTAACCGGTGCATGTTTCAATGACAATGAACGTCAACGGCGATCTCTTTTGATGCTCGAACCGATTGATTTCATCGAAGAATATATTATGGACAGAAAATTAAACTTTTACGAAACCAAAGAGATTGAAGGTGAAGGTGAACGCTTTCTCCGACAAACAGATGACCAAGCTGAACAACCAAGTCGACCTTCAAATTTTGAACTTTTTAATGGATTGCCTTTTGATTGGAGTCCTCATATTCGCGGACAGTTAATAGCTGCTTACGGTTACGGATATCTTCCTGGATGTTTTCTTGGCGGTCTGATGGCCTTGAAATGGGGTCCACGAAAGGCAATTCTTTGGACATCTGTATTAGCGGCTTTTATAAGTCTAATCACTCCTGTACTAGCACAAATTCATTGGGGTGCACTCGTATTCGCTAGAATGATTATAGGATTAACCGGAGGCGTTACTTTTCCCGCTTGTCACACTTTAGTTGCCAAATGGGCACCTCCTGATGAACGAGCGCGTTTTGTTTGGTCTCTTTTAGGTGGTACGTTTGGTACTGTCTTCACGTATCCTATGGTTGCTGCTATAGCTGATTATATAAACTGGGAATCTGCGTGGTACATACCATCTTTGATGATGTTTTTATGGATAATATTTTGGGCATTGTTAACTTTTGATTCACCTATGGAACATCCGGGTATAACCGAAGAGGAAAAAGAATATATTTTAAAGTAATTTGTTTCGTGTACAAATTATTGATCTTGATATTTATTTCTAAGTAAAATATCAATATAATAATTATTTCTTTTATATACTTTCAGTTCTCAAGCTGGAATAGTGAGAATGCAAAAGCCTACGTTAAAGCAGACACCGATCAAACAAATATTTACTTCGATTCCGTTCATCAGTCTTGTTATCTGCCATTTTGGCAATCTTTTCTTACTCTTTTTTTATCAAAATTCGTTAATGTTGTACATGACGAAAGCACTAGGTTTCCAACTTACCAAAGGCGGTACTGCTGCTGGTCTTCCTTGGGCTGGTAGAATGTTATTTGGTTTCTTTTTTTGTTGGGCTGGCGATAACATTAAAAAGAAACAACTTATGAGTGTCACTAAACTTCGAAAATGTGCTACTATATTTTGTAGGTAGTGAACGCTTAGAAATGGAAAATAACAATTTGCACAGAATATTATTTTATATTTTTTTCCAGCTCATCTATTACCAGGCATCTTTTTAATATTAGTTGGTTATGCCGAATGTTCCTTATATCTTGCTAACGTATTCTTGTTCTTTGCTTTGGGTTTCAACGGAGCGGCGAGTATAGCGAATCTCTCGAACAATCAAGATATCTCTCCAAACTTTGCAGGTTTTTTATACGGAATTATGAATACTGTTGGGAGTATATCTAGTGTGATAATACCGACGATGGTGGAAGAAATTGCAGGCAAATATGGGGTGAGTCTACTCATTTGATTAAATAAATTTCTTAATTTATCGTATATATATATATATATATATATATATATATGTATAGGTAATATAATATATATAGGTATATGTATACGTATATATATTATATATAAAATTGCTTTTCGCATATCTAACAACTTCGTATCGTAGGAAAAATTCTATAGGTTGTGTATCGCATAGTTTAGATAGTATTAAGAAGTTGACATATACGCTTTATGTAACAATTTTAGTACTTTCATGTTCAACGTCTTAATACTGTTCTGTTTTATGTTATATATCTTATAATACGATCTCATTAAAGTCTATATGCTTTACGTGCAAAATTGCTTTCTGCATATCCAGCAGATTAGTACTACTTTGTATTATGTTCTATATCTCATAGTACGGGCGGTTCTAATTTTTTTGTATATGTACCTTCTGTGCAAAATTGTTTTTTGCATATTATTAACATTACAGTACTATTATTTACTATCGTGCGTATGTCATGGTATGTATCGTATCGAGCCCTTGTATATATGCTGTATAAAATTGCTTTCCTCATATCAAACACCTTGTTACTATGTTTTATATATCATAGTACAATCTTCATTAGGCAGTTGTATATGTTTCTACTGTGCAAAATTGCTTCTCACATATCTAATACTTTAATACTACCCTGTACTATATCGTATGTCTTATATTACGTATCGTATAGTACCGTTGTATATGTATCTCGTGTACAAAATTGTTTTTTTCAAATCGAACATCATGTTAATACATTGTGCTATGCTGTATATCTCATAGTATGAGCTTTATTTTATATTAATACATATGCCTTCCTTGCAAAATTCGATTCTTATATATGCAGTATCTTGATATTATCTTGTACTACATATTTCGTGTATCTTATTGTACAGGTCGTTATAGACAATTGTACGTATCTTGTATTCAAAATAAAATTGGATCAGTCATCTTTTAAATACAATTATCAAACTGGAATGTGATAAAATGCTAACATGTTTCGTTTCCCGTATATGCAACAGGAATTGCATTCACATAAGATTAATCATAATTTGACGCTATTATATTAGTTTTCTCTCATCAGATTTACATTATTGCGCATGATTATTGGATTAGAAAGGTAATGCGCGTACAAAATGTCAAAATAGTATATTCCAAACACGTGGGAAGTTTCTCCTTTTATCGAAACGTGCCTAAGATTTCCAATAAAATTCATGGTGATAACGACTATTAGATATTACTTGTTTTTATATAAATTATATGCAATAATTTATAGTACAAGATATGTCAACGCATCGTTTCGTCAAGAAAAATCGCACATTACATTACGTTTCATGCTTGCTTGCTAATATATCAAAGCTTTCATCATTGTCATTATTTTTATCACCGCTTCCGTATGCATAGTATATAAGAAGAAATCATGTAATAAACATATATTAGAATATAACAGAACATTCTAAGAATTTCTTCGAATTTTATTAAGAAGTGTTGGAAATTTCACATGAAATATTTACAATTTCTCTTACTATCAAAAATAATAATTTTGTTCGGATATTTTTATGTTTAGAAATTGATTAAAGCTAAAAATATGTAATTATTATATGACTTTTAAATAAATATGAAATAAAAATAAATAAAAAATTAATAATTTTTTATTGCTCATTAATATGAAAAATAATACCCGCAATATAAATAATTACGTAATATTAAATAATTATTTAGCATTTTGTATTTCTTTTTATCTTATTATATAGCAATCATATATTACATCCATTTTATATATTAGGATGTTTTTATATGTACATACACAATTGTTTTTATTTATTTTGCATTTAATAATATCGTTTTGATGGTATATAAATATATTTTTTTCTTAGAATCCAATCCATAAATGGCGAATACTATTTTGGATTGGTGCTGGTGTGTGCATTCTGAGTATGGTTATTTTTATTATTGGTGGAAGTGGAGAAATACAAAAATGGAATGAAATTAAAGATCAACCAGATGCAGAGAGGGGAAAGGCAGAAGCTGGAACGACATAGGCATTGCTTTCCTATACTTTGATTATAATGCTTTAATTATTTGTTTCTAAAATTGAAATCGGAAAAATATAATATAAAATATAGAAAATCGGAATTAAAATTAAAAAAAAAGATTTGATAATATTAAATCAATGTTATTTTAATTGTTATGATATAATATATTATGTATTTATATAAATTATAAAAATATTTCTAATCAACATAAAATGATTAAATCATTTGCATGTTTCACGAATTTTTCGGAGAACATATCGATTTTATTTGCATTACTTAAATATGTAAATATAAGACTCATTGCGTGTAGAAAAATAGTAACTGAAATTGTCTTACGAACGTCCAGGAAATAAAACGCGAGATTACATAAGTATCAAGTTCTGTTTTTATAAATATTGTTTCATAATATCTACATTATGACGTTATCACTAATAATCATTATATACTGATTTATCCGGAACGTTTTGGTCACGCTAACCAAAGATTAATATCTTTCTTTGGAATTTTCTATATAATAACAACTTAATTTGAAAAGACAGTAATGAAAAGATTTTAATGATACGCTCGAAATATTTACAAAATATTTTTAAATAAGAGAAAATTTTCAATAATATTAATTAAAAAATAATTATTTTTCGTAAAGGATGTAATCTATTAATATATTATACATATTTGTGTCACAGTTAAAAGAAATTAAAAAAAATTCATTTTTTCTCCTACATTAGAAATCCATTTTATTTTAATTAATTAATATATTTGTTTTTAGTTTTCAATTAATTAATAACTCAAAATCCAGAATAACAAACAAAATCGTTCATTATTATTGTTCATGAAACTATATACTCTCGATAAAATAATGTCATTTATTCTTCAAAAATTAGCTACGATAAAGAAGCAAACTTTGCGCACATTTCATTCCAACTAGGCTAGCATACTCTTTCAATTCTTCTTCTTTTTGCTTTATATTTCTTTGTGCTTTATAAATTCTGTAAGTCATTATCATTTCTCTATATAAAATGAATATCTGAAAATATCAAATTTTAGTTTAATTTATTAAGGTAAAAATGTAAATAATGTTTTGAACAAAGTAAGAATATAAACAGACCTTATTAATATCCACTACACCATCTTCATCTATGGCATCTATGTCCTCATTGAATCTACAATACTTTTCTTTGTCCAATCTTGCTAAACAAGGTTCAATGTCACACCAAACATAAGTTTCTGGACATAATAGCTTAGATGGTTTCATTCTAGCTTTGTACCGCATCTTAGGGCAAGTATGTATGTAAAATCCCATGTAGTAATATTTTAAATTATTTGCGATTTTATTGAGATGTCTTGTTAAATAAATTTCTTTCAAAGAACTGAAAACAATAAATACATATTTCAAATGAAGAAATATTTAAGAATTTCAATTATATAAAAAAAAAATATAAAACTATTTATTGACCTAAAAGTTCCTAAAGAAAGAAAAGAGTATTCTGGATCATAAAAGAAATATACGCTCGAAACACACGATGGCAAAATATCAATAACACCAATAGCAATCAATTCATTGTCCAGCCAGTATTGCTCGTGAAAAGAACCATACCCTTGAGGTGGGCCATTTTCAGGTATCCATTCCTTTAAAATGTCATATAAAATAATATTAATTAAAAATTAAATAAAATACTTTTATAAAATTACTAATTACGTTTTTGGTGTTTAGTTTAATATATAATTGGCATTAGAGATTGCACATAAAGAATATGTATACATTTTATTTAATAAGTTAAAAATATTGAATGGAATACAAAGTGTACCTGCAAAGGGCTCTCTACAAGAAAATTGACAAATGTTTTTTTATTACATTCCTCTGGTTCATCTCCATGAATAGCCATTTGATATTTTTTGTAAAGATTTGCACTTATATCGAGAGATTTAAGAAATTCTTCTGTCCTTACCCTCACCAATTTTATCTAATGAATTCGTGAAAAAAATTATGAATAAAAGAAAATACGCTTATTGCATTATTAGACATGCAAGATAAATTATATATTTGTTTTATTTTTATTCTAAAAAAACAAAGTAAATAATAACTTTAATTTATCAATCGAATATCGATAATTTCGATAATAATCGATAATTTATAATCGATTGATAAACTTTAATTTTTAATATTTTAAGCTAGTATTAGAGTTTATCTATGAAATAATATTAAAGAAAACAACTTTATAAATACATGTATTTGGTGTAGTTCGCCTTATATGTTAAAAATAAACTATCAATTCAGACAAAAGGTCCACTTTGCTCCAATATAACTTCTTATTTAGATCAATATTATGTACAACATTTTTACATATAAGTAGAATATCAGAAGAAGTAAGAACTTCTACGATTTATATTATATCATTTGAAATATTTATAGAACATTCTCTAATGCTTTTGAAAATACCATTTGTTTCATTTTTCTAAATTCTATATATTTTATAAAACATTAAAAAAATTTGTTACTATCTGAACAGTCTTGCATTAAATTATGTACAAGAAATTATTATTTATTAAATCAATAAAAAAAAATTGATACTACTATTGGGTTGTCCGAAAAGTTTGTGCAGATTTTATTTTTACGCTACCTACCAAAAATCGAAACGAACTTTCCGGACAACCCAACCAATAAGTACAAATAATACACAAAGTAAAGAAACATAACAAAAAATTTTGATGCATCTACTGTTCATTTTGATAGTATTTTACGGATCAGTGATCTTGGCACAATTCACATTTACCTGTAATGGGGATTTCACAAGAAACCTTGTATACTGTTGCTCTGTAATCTTCTCTGTTGGAATCCGATGTATTGTGCTTTGATATTTTTTATAGACCTCATAAGATTTTTTTGAAGTCATTAGATATCCAGAGCTCATCGGTGAGGTTCTAACTAGTTTCAGCTTATAAAAGTCATTAATTTAATACAAATTTATTCAATGAAAAGTAAATCAAACTATCTTCATATTGAAATATATAAGCCTGAATAACAGTTATCAACTGAATTGGAAGAACAGAAAAGTATGCTGTAAAAATTATATTCTTTTGAGAAGAGTAATCTTAAAGTTACAGAGCACTAATATATAGACCAATTTCTTGAATCTTTAATGACGTATCTGCAACATGTTTGTTTCATAAGTTTAAATTTCAAATACAATTGGAGAAAAGAGGACCATATTAGCAATTGCAGAATATTTTATTCATACTGTTATAAATAATTAAAATTATTAAATATATCAACTGGATTATAATGACAATCACTGGATTATAATAGATCACTTGAAATAATTTCCTGTTCGTATGTATAAAAAATGTTTTCTTTCTATAATACATTGTAACCTATAGAAAAATATATAAAAACCATATAATTTTTTTCCTTTCTTTTCTTCTTTCACTGTTAGCCAGCTCTTCTTTAAAAATGATATAATATAAATAGAAGATAGTAAAATACATGATAATATGGATACTGATATATTTTTTGATAGTACGAAAAAGAAAGAAAACATTTTGATTGATAATTATTAATGATATATTGGAATATAAGATTTATTTAATATTTATTACATTTAAAATGTTTTTATCTTAATATATCTTACCTCCAATTTTTTTGTTCCAGTCCATATTTCATCAAACAATTCCTCTAAAGTTTTAACATAATTTTGTTGCTTACTTTCTTTAAAGGCAGTTTCAATTTCTTTTAATGACTTCCCTTGAGCTAATAATTTCTTTTGTTTGCGTTCTATACGTAAAAATTTTGCTTTTTTACAAGGTATGCTACTAGAATTATTGCCTTCTTGTATTGTACTTGTTTCTAAAGCAACAGATATATTTTCTTCAGGATTTTGGATAGAAGCACTACTATCTGAATGTAGTTCATTCTTTAAATTACAGAAATTCTTGCTGTAATTTAACACCTTAGGATTTAATATTTCATTGGGTTCATTATCTATCGATGATACATTTAATTTGGAAATATTTTTCTGTGCCAGTATCGCATGCTTATTTGGAATTTGCTCAAAATTTATATCTGCAAATATAGCTTACTTAAAATAGAGAATATTCTAAATTGTAATCTATGTAAGTATAATTATAGGTATACCAGTAATATCTTGGCGTTCATCATTAGTATCCATAATTTCATCTTTCTTTAGTTCATTTCTTAAAAACTTTGTCATACGCTTTAAAATCTTTTTTTGTGATTTGGAGATTTTGAAGTTCAAAGCTTCACACCTATAAATTATAAATTTATGCATTGTTTTACATTTATATAAAAAAATATACTCACTTGATGGTATACATCGGACAACATGTCTGATCCATTGTAGGTTTATAACAATAACTACCACTTCTTCTCCATCCTCTATCTATTAAATTTTGATAATCTTGAACTGTCAAAGAGTGTGCCCACATACCTAAAATTTTTTCAATTATTCATATACATACAGAACAATATCATAGATTAGGTTATGTCGTTTTATTTTGTAAACTACACAAATTCATTGTCATTATTTTGACGAACATCTAATTAAAGCTTTTACCATGACTAAAATTTGTATCTGGACTTTTGCAATAACCACACGCATGTCTTTCTTCTTGAGCATAATACTCAACAATACTGAGAGGTTGACCAGACATTTTCTTTTAGTATTTACTTGATTTTGTTCAACAATCAAAGAACTAAGTAACAGTTTTATTTTTCACATATTGTAATTCTGTAACTACAAGAATGAAACTTTCTATTAATACGCTTTTAATTCTACGTTAAAACCAGTTTTAGTAGGTATTACTAATGACTAATATTAACCATAAGATCGTTTCAGAACATATTCTTCGGTGCGCCATCTTGGATTATTGAAACGAATAGCGTATAAGTATGAATTTTCAAACAAAAAGATTTATGGACTCAAATCATTTTCGAAATATATTCCCAGATATTTCAGATAACTACAAAAATGCAAATTATTTTTGTCAATGTTATTTTTCGACATTCATATCAATATCTTTTGATACGATTAGACAACAAAATATTGTTTAGTACCAACCATGTACTGATTTAGTTGAATAAAATAAAACTTGTATCGTGATATCATTATTAATTCTGGCAGATAAGTAAATATATAAATCTTCAAGTATTTTTCAAAAAATAACATACAATAACTCGTCCCTTCATTCGTGAAAGAAGCGATCGCTTTTATGAATGAACCTATCTTTTACGCATCAACGAACGGCCGTTACTACGGCTACAGAAACATTGATCTGTTCTTTTGGAGTTACCCCTTCCAACGACTTATTATGGTTTTTCGAATGGAGATCTATTTATTCTACTTATTAATTATATGAATATAGAACAAATAATGACTTTCATTTGTTTTTCGATTTTATTATTAGAAAAAAAGTATATATCACGCATTATAAAAAAAAATATTCCACATTTTTTTTTTATATCATGAACGAATTTTATCTTCCTGTTTTATTATACCCAATAGATTCTAGTCATATTTCAGTTATCCTTCTGTCAGAGAATCTTTAGTTTATCAATTCTCTATTCTCATCCTTCTCTTATACCATCGTTGTACGTTGTACACGCGTAATTCCCCCACCAACTAGGGATTCGCCGAATAGAAAATCAACGATTGACGTCAATAGGAACCACCCTTCTGGACGTGAAAGCAAGATTAGATCAAGCAATATCAACAAATAACAATTATCCTTCTTTTACAGAATTCTTTTTCTTTTTCTATTCATTCACTCTTCTGTTACCGTATTCATAATTCTAGAAAATTAATTGCTAAATTTCTTTTAAATAAAAATTTATCGAAATTTATCGAAATTTATCTCTTTATTGAAAAGAAAAAAATATGTTTTCTTTGAAGAAAATGTGGTTGACGATTTGCTATTATCAAACGCAAGCATCAAATATCTTTTAGAATCCTAAAGTTTTATTTTGCTCATATCTGCATGCATTTTCGTGCACGTGATTTTACGCAAGCGTGGTATTACTTCATTGAAAATAGGTCAATTACGGGGAAAATCTATACACCGATAAATTACGCATTCTTTACTAATGATTTAATATTAATTTTCGATTAAACCGTGGTAATAAATATTTCTATTTGGGTTTAACATTTTCATTTTGTGAAGGAGAAAAATATTTGTTGGATTCCTCAGATTATCTTGTTACCTCTGGCAATTCATGGTAGAGAAAAACTATAGACCGTATTACGTTTTCACGTGGGCGTTTGGCCTGTTGCGAAGAATGAATTGAAAGTCCTTTTTTGTTTATATTTGGCAATCATTCAGACGAATATAAAAATCATCAAACATATTGGAAAATATACTCATGAATATTTTCAATGCTAAATGAGAATGAAAGTTCTTTCATTTAATTATTCTTGAAAGATTTAAAAAAAAAGAGGGCAAGCGTACGTGAGAGAAAAAGAAGAATAAGGGAAAAAAGGAGAATGAAGAAGAGAAGGAAGAGAAGGAGAAGGAGGCGGAAACATCCCGAGGGTAGCTATGTGCTCGGGTCATTGCGTGGGTAGATCAGTATCACAATAAATGAAAAAGTGTAGGTGGATGCGCACGTTCGTTATTGCAAGTCTTCTACGCAAATGGCGAAAATGTGTGGGCGAAAAGTACGAAAACAAAAGGGGATGAGGATATAGATATATCTACAGACATATACACATACTAACACGAGGAAACATATACATAAATTCTTTGATTCACACATGTACTTGTTACAGGTGTATGTATATACTGAAGTAGCTATGTGTTTGAAGGGTAGGTGGAGGGTAGGAGATGTGGGCTTGAGGTCGAGGGTGGGAGTAGTTGATCGACCGTACCCGCCACTGGTTTTCTAGTCGTCCTGCCGAGCCCCGACGTTCATTCCAGGCAGACCCGCCAAAGCCAAAAGGACGCAAACAAATCGCGCTGCAGATTTCAAAGAGACGAAAGGAAATCCTCGAAGAAGATCAAACTTGTTCGCTCATCATCACGATGGATTTTAAGGTAAATTTTCTTTTTTTTAACTCGATTTATACGATTTAATGAATGTAAAATTATTTTTTTTAAATAATTTTTTTAAAAATTTAATAAATTTTTTTTCGTTTTTGTTTTTACATTACTTGAATATCTGTTTCTTTCTTTCCTCTTTTATTTCTTGTCGTTTTAATTTATTTCTATATATATTAGATCTTTATAATTTTGTTTGGAATGAAATATTTATTAATTGAATATTTTATCAATTTTCCAAATTATTAAATTTACCAAAGATAGGAATGAGTAAAAATTAAGTAAGTTTAGCCTTATATTTAACATACGTGTCTTGACTTTTTATTTAATTTAATGTAATTTTTTATGTAGACATAAATAAATACGGCTCAAAAATATGAGCACCATTTTTTTTCGTACCTTATAAACATGAAAAGAAAATATTCTAGGATAAATATCAGTAGCTACAGCTGACGTGACATTTATCGCAGGCATATAAGCGTGCTTTCTTAGATAGAAAATCATGCGATATTAATACGTTCTACGTAATCAAAAACGTCATAAGATACGTCATAGATAGAGGTATTTATCAATGAATGGATGATCACTGAAATATATCTTTAATTATGAGCGATGCAGCTGTGAGCATCGTGTAGCACGATAAGCGACTACAGTATACCTACATGCAACAAGTGTGCAATTTCTAGGTCTACTATATCCAGCTTTCCTATATAGCTGTTGGCCCGCTTTAATTGAGGAAAACTCTCCATACGATTAGATTATCTGCGATCAGATATTCATTAGGAAATGTAGGTCCAGATTTTAATTAGTAATCCAATATTATTGAAGAAGAAAAAAATTCTTTTAATAGTTGATTTTCAAGAATGTTTAATTTTTATTTATTTTTATTTAATTCTTATATATAAAACAGGACTTTACTAACTTAAATAGTTAGAATTAATAAATGTACTGTGTCTATGATATTTAAAAAGTATGCTATAATATAACTACTATCTTGTGTTTCGTAGAAGTGTATTATTATATATAAAAAAAAAGGATATAATAAAACGTTATCTCATCGACAATTTTATCCTATCTCAGAATATTATATTGTTTAAAAACTGAAACACGAACAAACATTTTCTTATAGAGCTTCCTACGAGGTATACCTATATCTTAATTTTTGATCAGCTATGTATACTGAAAATAGACTCTTGACATTCCGCGTTACGTGACATTTAAACTCTTCTCTCTTTTTCTCTTCCATGGTGACCTGATGCCTTTAATTGCTTATATTCAATGTGAAGCATCGTAAATCTTATCTAGTTTATAAAAAATACTCTCTAAATTTTTTTATAGAAAAACAATTGTAATCCATTTCTTGCAGATGCTTAATAGTTGGGCGTGTTTATTGATACTATGTACCCTAATTGTACTGAGCGTTTCCTTGCCGACGAGTTTGAAAGAGGATGCAAAGAAAACGGATCAAATAACGAGAACAAAACGTGAGAAAATTGATCACTCTATCGAATTGATCAAAAATTATCATATACATTCTCTTTAGGAAATAATAATTATTCTTGTAAACTTATATCTTTAGCAAAACGAGCTCAGGAAACGTTGATGTTCGGCAATCAACAAAATCGACAGCCTGAGAATAGAGGCAATCCGTATGTTTCAAGCGCAGAAAAAAGTAAAGAACATTAGTAAAGCTTTGTTAAACGTAGTTAAGACAATCGTATCGAGAATGTACATGAAACTTTGTACTTTCAGGGGCATTAAACGCGGCAGGATTAGATGCTTTAAAGATATCACTTACAAAAGAAAACAAATTCCCTAATCCAAAATCTCCAAGAAACTCTTTGGACGAGCGCGAAGTATACAATCCGTACGATAAAAATTACGAGTAAGTTCGAGATTGATAATTGAATTAGATAGATTTGAAGTATTAATGGAATCTATTCTAGTCTGAAAAAATATCTCGATTGATTGCGTGTTTTAATGTTTCTACGCAGATATGGAAAGGTTATCGTAACCGAAGAGGGTGACGAAATGCCGCATGTATGGGACGTAGCACCTTATGCTCGTTATTATATAGGCGACGATCGACGAAAACGATCAGAAAAATTAATTCCAAATATTCGTACAACTACTACTCCACCAACGAGTACGGGATATCACACGGCATATCAAACGCAACATTCTCCGATTCAGACAAAAAGAAGGTGAGCAAGAAAGTCATTGTCATTATCGATATCATTGGCATTACCATAAATTCGAATTATTTTTCTTTTGATGACGTCGCACCTGTGGAATGAAAATCCCAGGGAAACTAAATCGAGTAGAACATATCCTGAATTATTTTACCACCCGTTCATTCCTTTCCCAAAGCTATCTCCCCTTTTCTTCGGCGCTTTTTCTCAATGGGGACGAGAGGGTCGACGGGAGGGTCGACGAGAGGGCTGACGGGAGGGCGTTGCCCTCGGCAGGAACGGCGGTCGGCTTGACGACCGAGTCGTATTGAACAACTCGAAGATGTGTCGTCATCGTGCCGATCAGTAACCTATCCTTAGTATCCGAGTATCTTTGGAAACTGATCTTATGAAAGCAATTCTTTTTTCATTTACAGAACGCAGAGTCGCATTTACTTAGATTCATATTTATTCAAGGGAATATTTCTATGTATATGTATATACCTGTTTTACATTTTCTACGTCAGCGTTCTATTTTTATTTTCAAAAGCTATACACGATGAATATTTTGTTTGAACAAATGCCGATTGAATGTCATAGGTCATAGAGTGAATAATCAATGTTAGTAATATGATTAATAATAATATGGTTTGTCTAACGATAATATTTTGATCGAGAGGAGAAATAGGAGCATTTTCGTTCAGAGAAAATTGCTCAAGTCACCCTATATAGTTTGCTGGAACCCTCTTAAAAGCTTCCCCTCTTCATTCTCCTCCATCTACGTATTACGTACATAAACGTAAACGCGCACACTCTCTCACAAGTACGTAGATAAAGTTTGCCGCAGACTATGGATCGTTCGATACTAGTGACGCAAAAGAGGCTGGAGCTAGTAGAGGGGTTGAATGGTAAGGGGGGAAGGAGAGTGTTTTCTAGAGTAGTGTGACCGTACGAAAAGCTGAATGGAACCAGCCAGGAAAACTAGGTCACGGTATTACTGCCATTTGCTATATAGTCGGACAATCAGCTGACATCAACACTCAACCCTTTAAAAGTATTTCCTTCCTCGTTGCATTGTGAAAAGCTTCTTTGTTACGAACAAGAGATAGAAAACCTTGTAAATCTTTTTTAGTGAAAATTATTGAATAAATTAGTAAAGGTCATCATTAGTTAAAAATAAACGATAATTGGAAATAAATGTATCGAGTATTTAAATCCAATGAATCGATAAAAAACCAATGAATGTAAAGATATTTTTTTTCGTTTGGATAATTTTTCCACTCATTTTGTCAAAGCACGAAGCAAGCGGAAGAAGTATTAGCATTATGAGACATGTGCTGTGATGCGGTACAACATTTAATAGCGATATAGATTTTATGAACAAATAATAAATTATCGAGCGATTAAGATTTAAAAAAAGAAAAAAGTAATACTTGCAAAAAAAGAAGATTCCTTTCCGTTTATTTTCGTTTTAATGCGCTTTTCAAGGACGAAAGTAATCTTGTAATTTAAAAATATCCGAACGACTCAAATTTATGAGTTCTGTTATACAATCCTTTTAGCATTCCTATCTATGCGGAACCACGTTATAAACGCGATGTGGAAATTCATCCTGAACCTGCATGGACTCTTTTATCAATGTGGGAGAATGGACACCGCAACAGGTTATGATCCATTACGTACTTATACACGCGTACTTCGGTCGATAACTTTGAATTTGCTTTGATGTAAATTAATGCTTTGCTATTATTCAATTTATAAATCGTTACGAATTTTTACAGATATACGAACGAGGAATATGATAACGAAGAGGACGCTGATCCGTTAGAAGATGAAGATCCCAGAAATGGTAAAAATCCTACTAAAAATTTTTAGTTCGTTAGATAGAAATTTGAATAACTTTATTATTAATAAATAATTCTTAACAGCTCTCGCTTGGATGAATGTTCCTGCATATTCTTCTTATCGATATGGTACAGATACCCTCTCACCTTCTGATATCGGTATCGTGCATACTCACCCATCAAGTTATTACGACCAATATGAAAATCAATACGGACAACAATTAGATAATGGTGGTGCGCATCCTTATGTCAATCAGTATGGCACTCTTTATTCTCAAGACTCATATTATCCCACGGAGAGGAAATATATGGTTGCGAAAAAACGAGCACCGGTAAAACGCGATAATATTAACAATATTTAATAAGATTAGGTACTTTTACTTCATTTTTTTTTCTTTTTTTTCTTTTTTCTTTTTTTCTTTTTTTTTCTTTTTTTTTTTTTTGTTAAACTCTATAACGTAGACAAAGGTGAAAATAAAACAGTACTTATAATGTGAAGAAACTTAAAAAGACAATTTGTCAAAATTATTTTCTAATTATTAATTTATTCATTTCAGAGTTACGATCCGTACGTTAATATCGTTCCACTACAAATGGGCATCCAACAGCGTGGTTATCCTCCCTATCCGCATCATATGGTTTATTAATTTATTAGCGTAAATTAACCGTACTTCAAAAATTTTCTATTTTATCAGGAATATTGGAAAAAGAAAAAGAGAGTTTGCGAAACTGTTGCGTGCAAGCTCACTTTGATTTGGGCATATTGTACGACAGATTTCTCGTAGACACTTCTCTTTAACTATATAATCCTTTATCGCGAATGAAAAAGTACCCGAGAGTCCAAGACTATTCATTTTCAAAAACATGGTGCTGGAAAAGACTTCTTTCAATTTGCAAGAATTTACTGAAACAGAAATACCATGGTTCCTTTAACAAATCATGTTTGCGCGTATGCACACACGCGTAGATAGAAATGTATATAAGTATGAATTTTCTATATACTTTTATTTTGTTTTGTTGTTGTTTTCTTATTATTTTTTTTTTTTGTATTTTCATCCACACATTTGTTAACGATTGATCTTATGATTTTTGTTTACTTTCTCGATTAATCAAGTTTATGTTATTAATTGAGAGTTTTATATATTATATTATACTTTATGTTAAAGTTTTATTTAAAAATGTTCATTTTATCCGTTATTTTCTAATTCGAATTTTTATTTTTATATGAAGAAAAGACTGCTATTACTTGCATGATGAACAAATGTGATTGTAGTTAGAAAGTTTTACCTGCCTAAAAACACACACGAGTAAAATAAAAAAAAGAAAAATGGAAGATATTTTTCAGCACATTCTTGCAATTTGTTATTTAAAATTAATAAATTTTTTTCAAGTTCTCTTTATCGAATTTCCATTGTTATAATACGATCGACGAATGAACAATTATAAAATGAAAGGAATTTATTTTCGAATTGTTTTTATAATTAATCGTGTAATTATAATGAGACATTCATAAAATTAACAAAAAATATGAAATTAAATTAAAATCAGAGCCTCTTTGCATAGCGAAGATGACAATGGTTGCAATTTCCAAAAATGCATACATTTGACATAAAACGTCAATATATCCTTTATTCAATTGACACTCGTCGATTGACGCACAATTGCAAAGAAATCATCATGTATTTCGCATACTCTACAATAACGCGACATATCATCATATTTATTAAAAAAAAAAAAAGAGTGCAGATTAATCGAAGGAAATATTTATTAAAGTTTCGTAAAAGCAAAAGTATAAATTAAAAATACAAATTAAAATGACACCGTTCTATGAATGCAATAATCACAAGATCTTATGTTACTTATGTTAAATCACTATTATATTTATCTATACTAATTTAAGAGAAAGCGATAGCGAAATATTAAGTGTATCCATAGGGATAAGACCGAGCAGTGTTTGAAAATATTTTTTCTCTATATGAAAATACAGCTCACATGGCCTTCCATAATAATGTATACTCTGAGGAGACTGAATAATCGCTTTCTCGTTGGCCCATTTCGATACAAGAAAGAAATTAATTAATTAATTAATTAAAGCGATGACTCGAAATACAATAGCGCTGACTGACGAGAAACCATAGCTTTTAATGCTTTTGGTAATCGTTTAGTATACTTACGATTAGATTTATTTAGAATAAGTAGATATGATTATGAAGAAAAATAATTCAGTATTGCCAAGTAATTAATATTAAATAGAAAAGTGTTTATTAGTATAAATTTAATGAAAAAAATTGATCAACTGGATTTATTACCTTCTACTTTTTTACTAATATTTTGGAAAACTGCAGTAAGAAATTAACAATTAATTGTGTTAAAAGTAGTAAAATGATAAAAAAGATATCAGAAAGTTACTTGCTATCGTTAATTATTTTTGTTTCTTTCTCGAAAGCGGATTGAGATTTGAATATGGAAAAGAAATTGCGATCTTCATATGATTTCTTTTACATAACTCCTTAATTTTATAATGTTATTATTGAATATAAATTCGCTTAATACGATATGTAACTTCATCATCGTCAACCATGTTACTATCTTAATATATCGTCCCTTGTCTATTTTGATGTTGTGCAACATAATACAGATTATTTCAATGTAAAGCAAAATCTTATCTTTCTTAATGTATGATATATTTTCGATATAAACAAAAATGAAAATTCTTGCACATAAGAATGAAATATTATAAACTTTATATTTTCCTCTGTATTATATAAATAATTATGACAAGTATTACCGATTATTCTATATTTTATAAGTTGACAATTATCATGATATAATATACGAGTAAATAATTATGTACTTAAATTAAATGTGTAAAATGAGTTTTTCTTTTTATGTTGGAACTGAAACCGTAAAAAAATCATGTTTTCTAAAAAAAAGATATAAAAGATTTCAATGATTGTGACTTTAACTAAAAATAATACATGTATAGTGTCTTGTTGTGCGCATATCTATACTTCGTTAACATCAGGTAATGATATTATATTCTTTAATGAACATCCCTAAACTATTATTAAAATTGTTTTAATTATGCAAAGCATTATATTCAATATTTGAAAAAATGCAATGAATAAAAACACGGAACTCGTAGTATTTATATTTATATTTTTACTACCTATCTTCTAATTTATATATTCTATCTTTTTCTATAGATTCTTTAAACATAAGATCATTACACTTTAGTTCTTTTCATTTTATTAATTCTTAAGGACTATTCATCATTCCTGGTTTTATAATTGTTTACGCTAACAATGAGTACAAGCGTAATTCTTTAACGATTTTGATGAAGAAGATCTCATTTTAAAAATGAAGATTTAAGCGAGGATATAGCTTTTTAGAACTTTTGGAAAAGCTTTATTTTCTTTGAAAAAAATCGCATCAAAAAATGGGGTTTCTAAAGCAATAATTTATACATAAAAATAAAGCTTTTTAAAAAATTTGAAAAAATCATGTCCTCGCTTAAACCTTCATCTTTAAAATGAGATTTCCTATCTTGTCAGTACGGAAGAATGAATCTCCCTGCATCTAATGCGGAAAGATTTCAACTCCCGTGTAAAAATCCAAATCCCTCGATAATAAATCGACGATAAATCGAGCGCGTGAAAAGGTACAGAAAATCTGGGGTGGATATTTTGAAGGTCGCTCCATCCAAGTAAAGTCAAAGTACCTAAATCGAGCTCGACTTCTCCCTATTGAAAGAAATTGTTCAGCCCAAGGATCTACAACCAAGGACTCCATCTGAAAGAAACTAGAAATGTTTAAACAATTACCAATGTTAAAAATTACCAAAAATATTAATTTTTTAATCTAAGAAAGAAAAGAAAGAACTTAGATGTTTCCTCGTCGGAATGCGTAAGAAAACTGGATCGATAAATATAAAAATCCGTCAAATCTATATTTTTGTTGATATTAAATGTATTCTACGACGTGGAGATCAAAATTTACCTGTGTTTAAATATTAAATTGAAATTATTTTATGTTAATCATTTATTACGAGTTGTGTAATGTTTAAACAAGTGTATATTATTGTTTAAATATTAGTTTGTTGTACTCCATGTACATTATACATCGTTTAAATAATTATAAAATTATCGAAAGTATAATTTGTTTAATCTCAGACGTTTGGAAATAAAGAGCTTCGATACTTACTTATCGAAATGCGAAAAAACTGGATTAATAAATGTCAAAATCGATCGGACGTTTATTTTATTGTCTATACTCATCGCTAAAGTTACATACGCCACGAACGATAGGTGGTGAACAGTCTTAAGGATATTTAATATTTCCTACTTTATTGATAGATAGAATGAAATGGAATTATGAATAAGTGCCATCTGATGGAATGGAATAACATTGAATGCGTTGATAAAAAAGGATTAAAAATTAACTATTTGGAAATTTATTTATCTAATTAATTTATCTCAAATTGTTATAATCATATCTATTTATAATTACAATATTCGTATATAATAAATCGTCATAAATTACAATCAATATAACTATTGTATTATTTTGATTGAAATGTAATAAGTAATTGGTACCCTCGTGTCAAGTACAATTTTGGTTGTCATCCCTGATCATAATATTCTTTTTAATCACTGAAGAATAGATAATTGTGGATCACGACAAATGGACTTTAATGTCGATGTATCATTGTAGTGATAAGTTGGTGCAGAATAATTTCCTTATTTAAAAAGCATGTTAAGGTCGAAATGGCATATAATTCGACTTATCGTATTCGTCCTGGCACAGTTGGCTTATTGAATATGTATTTTTTTTTATCGTAGTGGCTTTGTACAGGTGGGCGATTAACGCATTAAGTTAGACATTTTTGACAAGCACTTTGTTAATTGTGTTTTCAAACATTGCACGCTTATTGTGTGCAAGAAACGATCGTTAATGTGCTATACGGAAAATATGAATGAGCATTAAATGGTTTCCAATTTTTGAAGTGTATAAATTTTTCTTAAAAATGAGTTGGTTACGAAATAGTCCATTGAGGACAAGTTTTACCAAACAACGATCTAGAGATTCACCACCAAAAGATGCCGATCCATCAGCATGCTATGATAGTTTTTGCAAGCATTGGCAACAAGCTTATGAAATTATTTTACATACTATTGTAAGTTAGACAAAAAACTAGATGTAGTAATAAAAAATATATTCTACATACACAATCTTCAATAAATGTATAATATATTAAATTTATTATACTTAGTCATGTAATTGTATCTTTATAGCCACCAAAGGGAATACCTAGTCAAGATGATGTTCTTGGTGTTGTTAATCATATTGACCAGATGGTAACTCTTTTAGTATTAGAACTTAGAGAGTCTACGTCTTCCAAGCATTATCGTCAAAATTCTAGTGCGACACATTCTCCGTGTCTAGAGTACTTATTAAGTGAGAATTTGCTTGTAAAATTATATGAATGGAGTGTACATACTGGAAGGTAAATATTTTAATTGATTTTGTTATATATATTTTTCAAATATAAGTGAAAGTATTACAAGTATTTCCTATTGTTCTTGTTAAATATAATTTTACTTTCAGATTTAATAATGCTGTTCGCTTAGAACAACTTAAACTTTATGAATTATTAGTATCATACAGTGGCACATTGCTTGCACATGAACCAGTAACAAGGCCATTGTTAAGATTATTAGAAGAATGTGCTAATGATATTATGCCTTTGGAAGTAGAAAAAAAATTAGTTGTCCTATTAAACCAATTATGTGTAGCTTTAATGCAAAATATGGCTTTATTGGATTTATTTTTTCATTCAACATCAACTGGAAAAAATAAGTTAATAGAAACAAATTATTTATTTTATAATTGTACGTAAAGATATTTCTCATGCTAATATATTCCGCATAAATTTTCAGATTTATTATTTTTACGTTATTGATACCTCACGTTCATAGGGAAGGAGGTATTGGACAACAATCTCGAGATGCAATGCTACTATGTATGTCTCTTTCCAAAAAAAATGATGAAATTGGATTATATATTGCTGATCAATCCAACATTTGTCCGGTAAATTATATTTTTTAATCTAAAAGGAGTTTCTAGAAATAAAACAAACAATGTTGTATTAAGTTACAATATAAAAGAAAAATTTTATATTTCACTAGGTATTAGCTACTGGTTTGAGTGGTCTTTATTCTTTATTACCTCGAAAACTTAATATTGAAACAGATGATTGGCATCGTTTAACACCTGATGATGTTAATGATATACCAGCACTTATACAACTTATGAATTCTTTGGAGTTTTGTAATGCTGTTGCACAAATTGCTCATCCCATGGTTCAAAAACAATTACTTGAATTTTTATATCATGGATTTCTGGTACCTGTAATGGGACCTGCTTTATTACAGGTAAGTATAAGAATTTTAAGCACAATAAATCTACATTTTATGATTTTGCACATAACTTATGTCTGATAAAGAAAGGTATTCATTTTATACAAGCAGTGCACTTTGTAATATTATAAACCATTAAATTAATTTTTATACAATTAAATTTTTATGATACAAGAAAATAAGTGAAATTTAATAATTCGACAATTTATTAACATTTTTAATTGCTTTCCTTATTAAAAATTATTTGTATTACACCATTTGTAGTTTTTTCTTATTTTATTTTATTTATTGTTATATCTACACATGCAAAACACATAGAAACTCTTATTTGATTAATCAAAGCACACACAATTTGAAACATATTAAAACTGATAAAAGTTTATCACTAGTTCTTAATAATGCCTATCAAATAGTGAACAGTTGAACATTGACAAACTTAGTTCTAAATTATTTCTATGATAATTTATGTTTTTGTAAAAAATAATTAAAGAAATACTATATTTAATAACATATACAATTAAGGAAATTTTACCATTTTATATATTATAAATATAAATAAATTAAATTACTTTTGTGATACATAGAAATAATAAGTATATGCATATTATCTATGTCTAGCACTGCTTAATATTTTGTGTATTCTTTATTATGGTGTTGGTACTGCTAAAACTCAATTTTCATGCTAATAAAGCATAAGTCATTGATGTTGTCCTTTATGATTGTTGGTGGCTATCTGGTGATACGCTCATGGTGCTCCTAGGATTCTCTTGGCTTGACTCTAGAACAGCTAGATGCACCAGAGCACCGGGTTAGTACAAAATATATTTTTGGGTATATAAAGATAGTATCTCAGTCAACAAAGAAAACTTTTAATATGATAATTTAAGAGAAGATAAATTACATTTCTCTTTAAACTTAGCATTTTTTGCTGAAATACTGTCTTCGCTGAGATCTTACTACAAAAAACATATAACTTATGAACTACATATGTAATTTTGTAGGACAAAATATTAATCAGTAAATTCATTTTAACAAAGAAAAGAATAAAACTCTGTTTCGCTTTATAAATATTTTGTCTTACATTATATATGACATCACTACAACATCATATAACATATGATGTTAAATAAATGATT